CACACACACACACACACACACACACACACACACACACACACACACACACACACACACACACACACACATATCCCTCCACCTTCCTCAGTATATCTCCTCTTCATCTCATCCAATATGGATATCGCATGCTGCCTGCTGACCCACACACATTGAGCTTGGTGTAGGCTCAGTCAGCATAGCACCTCATTTAAAGGGGCATTGATTTCACCACTAGTGCTTTATGAATATATTCCTTATGCATGAGCATTCAGCAGTGTGTTTATGGCAGACGTGCCTCCAATTCTATACACGCTCTCAATCTGTGCTTCAAATCAAACTCTCAAGGTCCATCTGCACCCAGCAGAGATGTTCGTTTTCTTATTGTCTTTGAATTCCTGCTCAAACTGAAGGCAAAGCGCAAAGCTCTGTGCATACAGTGTGAGGCATCCAGGGGATCTAAAATTCAATTTCTCTCCCTCCCCTGAATGAAACTGAACACCAAAGCCTCATACTACACTGGAGGTAGTTTTTTCCCCTCTATCTTGGCAGCATAAGAGGACATAGATAACAGTATGAAACCAATTTCGTACAACTTTCTAAAACAATTAGTGCACTTTATCTTTTATTTTCTAGATGAACAGCTTAAATGGTCTGCATTTCTTCAGCAATCAGCATCTCATATTCACATTTAATTTAAAGAAAAAAGAAAAGATCAGACAAAAACAATAAGCGATCCCATCAAAGCAAAAGAAATCTGCAACACAGGGGAGAGACTTACCTGAGGCTGATGAAACAAAAATTACAGGTGGAGCGATCAGGCCTGTTTGGTCCACTTGTAATGTGCTGAACTTGTGCTCTGTAATTTCATCTGCTCCACGCACTCATATGGGGGGGAGAGAAATGATCAGTTAGTGTTTTAATGTCATAGTTAATAACTCATCAAGAGGCACACTGAGGGAGCCCTCAGCAGAGAAACCCACACAAAAACAAATCCACTATTCTCCCCTCACTCTGCAAGAATCCTCGAACCCCGGCAGTTCATAATGTGTTGTTTTCCTCTCCTTTTATGCTCCCCAGTCCTTTCTCTCCCTCCCCTCCTTTCTTACCCGGTTGTCGAGGCGACAGAGTCAGTGAGAGACATTTCTTCCCAGAAGCTCCTCTCTCTCTCTCCCATGGCTTTGTTCAGCCTGCTCTGCTGACTGGCTCAATAGTGTATGAGACACAAGGAGGGAAACGCAGCTCGAAAACCTCTCCGCACCTCCCGCGACAGGCTGGCGAGCCCGCGGGGATTTTTATACCACTGCAAAAATGTCACCGGAAAAAAATTCAAGCATCAGTCAGCTAGTTACGGGTGACCCAAAGGATGCAGTTGTCACGGTACCGCAGCCAAGCCCCCTCCCATCACATCAGAGTTGGTATGGTCTAGTCTAGTCTCAGTTGGTGGGGAGGTGGGGTGTGCTATAAGAGGGCAACAAGAATAACTGGTTACAGTGGGAGACAAAGTGCAGGCAATTTAAAATAATCACCTGAGAAAAAGAGTTTATTAGTTATTGCTTCATTTTCATTCTTCAGCGCCGACCGAGTGAATGAAGCTGCTCAGCCTGCTGTCCTCTGTTGTAAATGGTTTGACTGCTGTGTTATACGGCATCTCTAATATTTGGTGGAGGCTGTAAATTCAGCACCGATCTCAACTGTCATGTTTGCCTTGCTGTGCCAGTACGGCACTCTCCCGGACTGTAGTGCCCTCGCTCGCTCTCATCCAACATTAATGACCAGCACTCTCCTCACACCGCTACGTTCAACTCATCCATCACCTCGCTCCTCAACCCCTGTTCGTGTTTAACTTGGATTGCCTTGACATCAAAAGGTGACAATCCATCATCTAAATGAGAGCAGATAACTGTAGTGAAATTTCACTCTTTCTGTGGCATCGTGGAGTCAAACAGAGAAGAGAGGTTTGAAAAATGGGAAAGAGTGCGCGAGTGCTGAAATCCTGGAGGACACTTCATAGCTACGCACTGTTTTCATCATGCTGGTGTAACTGTGACAGAGACATCTGTAAGAAAGACTTTTTCAGTCGCTCGAGATCAATATAGTGAAGAAGAGTGAGTCCAATCACATCTACTGCTAGAGCTCTGTGGGGGACAAACAACCAAAAAACAAACAAACACATTTTACGAAAACTGTTGGAGCTGCATGTTGTCTATGACACCAGACACACACACTTCACTGCATGGGATCCTTTGATAGGGTTTAATGAGACCCTCCAAATGACATTTAGTCAACATTTATCACAAATATTGGCAGGCAAGAACTCATGAGGCAGTTGACACATGATCTTAATATACATTTAAATAATACAAAATATACATTCATTCATACCTTGACACATGCATACTGAACCATACATGCAACCGTATACAGGGCTTTCAGAAAAACACAGTGAAGACAGAATTACTGTTTAATAGTACCCTTAATGAGAAATTTCCCACCCAAAGTGTACACGTTTCCCTCTGGCCTCAAGTACAGTGTATCTGTTTGGATTATTTTGGAGTGAATTGCACAGTTTTGGAGAAATTTGATGCCATCTCTTGAACAGAAGTGGGCTAGATGGCTCTCACTTTGTGGTGCTGAAGGTACCTAAAAATCAAGCAAGTTCAACTCAGCCAAGCTTTCTTTGCATTAACTGGTTAAAAAGCAAACAAAAAGAAACCCTAAAAACAGCTGGTGATAACGGGTATCACAGCGTCAGTTAGTGACTGCATCATTTGACTCTTTTTCCTTAAAATACATAAACTCAGCACCTCATATTCCAGACAGTGACATTATCTGACGTGGTGCTAGTACATATATCCATCCATCCATCTTCTTCTACTTATCCAGTTCAGGTTTGCAGGGGCACTGGAGCCAATCTCAGCTGTGATATAATGAGAGGGAGAGTACACCCTAGCTAGTCTGTCACATGCCTAACACAGACAGACAGATACAGCAGTAAAATATAATGGTAACGATGTTGCAAATAAGAGGAGAAAGTAATGACGATATATATATATATCATATGAACTCATTATCATCAAAATCACACTGAGTGGTAAACACACTCGCCTATAGATCCTCGGTTCAATTCTGGGAACCCAGCCTGCGAGGGTCACAAGCCTGGATAAAATGTGAGGGTCATGTCAGGAAAGGCATCCCGGTGCCAAATCAAACACACAGTTTCATCCACTCTGACGACCTCTCGGGAAATAAGGGAGCAGCCTGAAGTACCTTCCAATATACTTATTTTATCATTTGGTGGGTCTCGGTGCTGCTGTTTATTTCTAATGTGACAGCTGTATGTTAGAGCTCATAAACTTTAAACCTGATATGCTTAAACATCACAGGTGTGTACATAAAAGATCTGTGATCTATCACTTGTCGCCAGCTTAAAGTGAAATTATTAATTATATAGTCTACAAATGTAACCAATTCATTTTCTAATTTGTACTCTATTAGCTGTATTTCCAGCAGTGTAAAGAGACTTAGCAGCAGATTAGGACCACAGACGTTCTGCATCACCAACCGAATGTATGCAAATTCCTGTCACAATGCCACATACACTTTGTGCTGCTGCAGCTTTATAGCTGGGCTTCAGTGCGTTAGTAAAGTACGGCTTCAAAAAGTTGCATATACAAAACATATTCCTTCAGCAAGGAACAACTTTTTTCACTGAAAGCAAACTGAAAATAAAATAGTGTAAACACTGTGCTTCCACCTGATCCTAAAAGGAAACTGATCAGATCATGCTCCTGACCGGGTCATGTGTTCAGCATCAGTTACCGTAGCAATTTAGCCAGGTAAAGAAGAGAGGCACCTTCGGGGACCCTGAAAACTCTGACTCGAGTTACCTCTGGTTGCCCTGTGTCATGTAGGAGCCGTCTTCTTTCATACCAAAACAATCCAGTAGATAAACAGCACTGCAGGCCGAGGAGGAGAACATGTATAGTTGATCAGGGGCGAACTTTCTGTTTAAAGCAGGTCTTCCTGAAAAAGTCTAATTCTTAGGATAACATTAGTTTTGGCTATTATCTGAGCCTGAGAATGGGAGAGGAAAGCCGGGAAGAGATGCATTATTTTACATATTAATGAATATTACATAATGAAACAGTGACTGGCACAGGGGCAAATGAGTCAGGTTAAATTAAGACTGAGGTTTCTGGTTGGGAATGTAACAAAAAAACAACTGCAGGCAGGATTCATCTACATTTCTAATTGTCTCGCTTTCCTGGAGGCAGTTTATCTGAGCGGCAGGAAAGGGTCAGTAATACGAACAAGCTTATATCTCTGTAGCATTAACAGTGGAAACAAGTGGATAATTGGTTTTGTGGGGAAGGAAACGAAGCTACAGGAAATTTCAGTGCTATCATGTGGATCTGAAATATAACAAGCGTACTCTTTTAATGGTTAATAAAATAAAAATAATAAAAACACACTTCAAGTGTAAGAATTGACTAACACTATGGTGCATACACACTTTATACTTAAGCTGTCCAGCTCAATGTGGCAGTCTTCTAAAATCGTACACAAACAGAGGGAAGGATATGTTGGGCATGTTTGGTTTGCTCACCTAAAACTGGAATGTTTACAGCAGGCAGTAAAAATAGGCTCATATGCAAACGAGACTGGAAAATAAACCTGATATTGATTAGCATCGGAGCTGGAAAAACAATCCGCAGTCATCCTGTGATTTCTTTAAATGACTGCAGCCTGTCTTTAGTGTTGCATTGCAGTCTGCATTGATTTGATTTTCACTTTATTTCTATATCTGCTGAGCACTCCAACAAAGGAGATTAAAGTCAGGAAATCTAATCTAACATAGTTTTAGCACCTGCTAAAGTGGGCTCAGAGGAAGCCCGTGCCTTGAAAGCATGGAGCTGTGCAGTGTGAACACATTTCAAATTTATAAAAAAAAAATAAACACAGAGAAAATAAATACTCCATACACAACATACATTACAAAAAAATAAAACAAACTTATGACCCATCAAAGGTTTTCACACAAAGTATTGCAGGAAATTTTTGTTCGCGGCTATGCTTGTCACATTCTACCTGTTAAATAACACTTTCAGCCTGAGTGTGATTGATCTCTCTCTCTCTCAGCATTCACAGTGAAAAGCAACAGCTCCGGTATGCTGTTCAGTGCAACCGCTAGAGAGGAAAAAAAGTAGATCTGAATGTGCTATGGTCACTGGTCCGTGAGAAAACAGTGGTACTGCCACACATTAACACAGACTGCCGAAAACTCACATACACTCTCAAACTCTCAGAGCTCTCCTTTGACACAAAAGAAGTTGTTGCATTCCTCTGGCTACCAAAGATGAGTCTCCCGGATCTCAGAGATGATGTTATTGGCTTTTTTAAGCGCCTGAGAAAGAAAGAAAGAAAAAAAGACAGAAAGAAAGAAAGAAAGGCTGGTTAAATTGCTGGCATTAAGACCGCAGAGAAAAGAAAAAAAAAGAAAAAGAAAAACAACTAGCTGTTCCACGATGTTCAGAACCCATTCAGAGAACAAATTGCATCATCCAATTTTACCTCAAGCATTTGAGCAACCTCAGTCCGCTGCTGTGCTGTGTCCTGTGACTCAATGAGCAGCTCCTGGAGCAGTGGCTGTTTGTAAAGCTGACCCACCAGCTCACTCTGCAGATTTTCTTTCACGTAGTTCACCAGGAAATGCATCACTGTCTTGGGCACACTGTAGACACACAGATCGATGATATTTACACTAGGGCTACTATTCTGAATTTGCATGCTTCCACCAACCAAGAAAGCTGTAGTCTGACTAGAAACTAGGGCGAGGGACTCCAGAGTTAGAGCTGAGTCCCTGTTCAGATCATTACTGCTGATTTATTTTGTGCTTAATCTCATATTTAAAAAAAGAAACAACTTCACTAAACTAATATTAAGAAACACTGATTTGTATGCATGTAGCAGCTGTATGAGAACAGACATCACTGCAGGAATCAACATCTGCACACTTATTCTCTAACAGAGCACCACAGTTAAGACAGACACATACAAAATAAACAAAAAAACCCCACCCAGAACAAGAACTCTTATTGCTAATGCTGATATATTTAATCCCCTTACAGTAATTGAAGTAAAAGTAGGGAAAACAGTGCATGAGTTAATATCCACAGAGACTAAATCTAATGTCCTCACTAAATGTGTCACCCTCTAGTTTACATGTAAATATAACCCCTTCATCTTTTTTAGAGGAAAAATAAAAGCTCTCATTATATAAGAAGCCTTTGTTCATGTAGTTAGACTGCTCTTTCAATGCAGCTCTTTTATCTAAGTAACAACTGATAAGATAAAAGGTTAACAGCTGCTAACCCTGAGCCACACTGACAGCACCATCAGGCACATCTAATTGTGAAGTTAATACACGCACGCAGTGGCACGCTTGCTCTCGGTGCCCTGCGGCCAGGCAGAAAAGATGCAAATGAGGGAAAAATCTGATGGATTTCATTAAAAAACAACATTTTCATCTGACCAATACATATCAGCACTGCTCTAACATTAAAAGTGTTGGGAGAAGAAGAGCATCACGATACGTCTCACCTGAACAAACACAGCTACAAATGTTACACCTGAGCTGACATTTAGACTTGTACGCCTGTCGTTCAGGAAGCCTGAACACACTTTTCTGAACTTTTGACTGAGTGGCTAAGCTGCCTGCTGGAGCCAAGCCCACCCCTGTCCATAGCTAAAACCAGTCCATGCAGGCAAATGCAAGTAAATGGACTTAAACTGCATCATTACTTTAATATAACCGGAGCAGACAACATTTTATATACGAGCGAACACTTCACCCAGACTTTCAGTCAGGGAACATTTCCCCTAAGGAATAAATCAGAAACTGCTCTCTGAACACAGATCGTACAAGCACTCGCATTAAGCATCATCAGGCAAAAATCCATCAGCATGAGCTCCTTCTGCACCAAAATACAGCTCCGCGGGAACCACAGTGGTCACAGTAGTACTCTCAGACCTTGAGGGAGGATTTAGCAATGTCATGTTTGATGGTATGAAATGGACAGTGACAGGGCTGCGTGTTAACTATTTAAAGTTCAGGCTCAGTGTTTTAATGGGTCAGATAGACAGACAGCCTTCAGATTTTTGTGTTACTGATGTAAAAGTCTCTAAAGATATTTGGTTAACCACTGATCAGTATCATCAATTCAGAAATGGCCAAGATATATGATCTACTCTTTTATCTAAGAGTTAAGGCCACACGGAGCGCTTTCGGAAAACACAAAGAATTTCCCAAAGTTTTTGGATCCAAACTTGTCGTCTAACACAGCGGTACCCAACATTTTTTGCGCCACAGACCAATTTAATTTCAGACAATATCTTCACGGACCAGCCTTTAAGGTGTTGCAGATAAATACAACAAAATAAAATGACCAAGACAAAAACTGTGGTATTTTGTAAATATAATAATAAACACGAATCCACTGTGTAGTTGTGTAAATTTATTAGCAGCGTCCTTCTGAAATGCGCCAACAACACTGAGAGTAACATAAGACCCAGGGAAACCGAGTTAACGATAAAAACCATAAATTTTACACCCGAGCCTCAACTCTCGCGGCCCGGTACCAAACGACTCACGGACCTACAGCGCACTTGCTGGAAAATGCAGTGGTCTGATTGGTCAGCGAAGTTATGCTGCCGGCCCAAAAAATATTTTTAACGCTCAAAACATTTGAACAAATTTTACATGTCCAGTGTATAAAAGCCTTTAAGCTCCTGAATAATAACCAGAGAAGTGGTTTTACAGAATGCTGTCACAGCAAAGCTGAACTTTGATCTCAATTAATCATTTTGTCCTATAAGAGACAACATAATTACCACATGAATTATTGCGAGTTCAGTAAGGTCATGTCACTTTTGACCAACTTTATTCTAACTGAATGTTTGTGCCAAATTTGAACTAATCAATAGCAACAACTGAGCTTTGACCGTGATGTAAAGGGGAAGTAGGGTCCCCTGAGGTGCTCTGGATTTGTGCCAGTCAAACCTGTCTTGGATGCTCTTGCGGACAATGAGGAAGTAGCTCTTGATGAGACACTGGATGACCTCACAGTCCCTCTGCTCCCTCGAGCTCAGCTTTCGGGACACTGGCACAGCCTGACAGAGAGAAGGGCCAAGCAAAATATTAATACTGACCATCTGCAATGACTTCAGTGCTTTGTCATACTGCTAATCCCGCTACTCACTGTGTCAAGGAGGTTAATGGCCTGGCCTTTGCTGGGGCTCCCAAAGCCTGCAGCTGCAGCCTTTTCTTCCGTGACCTTCTCGTTCTTCCAACGCTTCCCTCCGTCAAGAGCCTCTGCCTGAAAACAAGCAACTCAGAGGCTAAAAGACGGGTTTTTTTAGGCTGGGATTCCACTAAAAACTCTGAAAGTGGTTTTAATATTTAATTATGAATTACACTTTAGCTTTTAAAGAGCACAGTGTCTGCTGTTTAGCCAAGCAGAAAAAAAGTCCCTGCAGTGAGAAACAAACTACTACCTGCTGACTGTTGACAGATGCGGAGACCTGCGCCGCATCCGTGAAGTCTGGATGCTTTGTGTTGATGTAGGCAAGCTCTATTGCTACTAAATGATGGACCTGAAAGTAAAAAAAAAAGCATCCAGTGGGATGACTAATATAATTAATATAAAAATGATGATCTTGCTTAAGCTGTGGATTACCATTTCATTAGTAATCGGCAAGCGTTTCCGCAATAATCCAGTCACTACTTCCACAATGGAATCGTGCAGCTTGGGAAATCGAAGAAGCTCCTTAAAAATGCAAAGACACGCTGTTTTTTAACACGGTCCTGTAATAATTACTGCGGCACTATTTTCTTTATTCAACCATGTGTAAAGTGCAATATGATCTGTGGTCCCACCTGTGTACTGAAGGAGGAACAGTGCTGGATGATCCGCTGCAGCTCTTCATGAACCAGCTCCACGCAGCGCAGACTGGGCTCCTCTAGACGCTTAATTTGCCGCTTCACCAGCAGCTCAAAGGACACCTCGGGCACAAAAAGTGCTGGCCGTGGGCCCTGCAGGGCAAATATCATACACACAAACACAAATACACACCAGCTCCAGACTTGACTAGAATTAGGATTTAGTAGAGCTACACAAACAGAAGCGAGAAGAAGCTTACAGTAGCATTACGGATAGCAGTGAGGATATCGAGATCAGTCAGGCCCGCCAGGGGGTCGATAGACTGCAATGTCCGGCCAAAGGTCTCGTGGAATATGTAACAGATCCGAGCACCTCCACAACTGCAGAAAGAAGAGAAAGGTGAAAGTTGTGATATCAGTGCTGGGTCTCAGTCCTGCGTGTCAGCAATGTTAGCTGTGCCAAGATTAAATGCAGTCAACCAAAAAGGGTCAATATTTGCTCCCCATGTATTTTAATGAATTAATCATCAAATGGTAAAAGCTGCAGAGTGGAATGTGCCAACGGAAGATGCTGATACCACTTTAGTTTACACCTACATTAGCACGAGGACATTACTCTCATGACACTCGTCAAATGTCTCGATGCAGTCTCAATCATCCAGGTTTGCAAATCCCAAAAAGTGGATTCTGTTCATCTGGAAAACAATGTAATCATTCTTCTGTCGACAAGGGTAGGTGCACGGTTTCACTTAACCAGAAGGACTGTCGTGAAAAATTTTGTCACTGCTCACTGACAAAAATACTTATGAACCCCTACAACAAGACCCAGGTAGTGGTTACAGGAAGAGGGTGATAGATTGTCTGAAGCACTTAGATTAAGACAATGCTGCTGACCAGACCTCATACCACAGGCTACACCCAGGGGAAACTACACCAAGTCTGTATGGTTTACCTAAGATACAAAAACAGGGTGTACCTTTAAGACCAATTGTCTGCTCAGTCACGTATAACATCTCAAAGTTTCTGGCTTTGATCCTCAACCCGTTGATAGGCAGCTCTAAACGCTACATCCAGAACACTTTGAATTTTGTTGAGAAGCTTAGAGATGTCATAATGGAGGCAGATGAAACAATGGTCTCATATGGTGTTACGTTTCTCTTCACTTGTGTTCCAGTCACTGAAGCAGTGAAGGTAGTTCATAAGAGATTACAGGATGACCCCAACCTCAGCAGCAGGACCACTCTCAGCACCGACCAAGTGTGTTTGTTTGTGGAACTGTGTCTTCATTCCACCTATTTCAAATACAAGTGTCAGTACTACAGGCAGAAACATGGGTGTGCCGTAGGTTCCCCAGTTTCACCCACTGTGGGCAACTTGTACATGGAAGAAGTGGAAAACGGGGCTCTGTTATCCTACCCTGGAACACCCCCAAGTCATTGGTTCAGGTATGTGGATGACACCTGATTGAAAATCAAACCTCAGGACGTACCATAATTCACTGATCACAATAACTCGGTGGAGAAACACATCAAGATCACCATGGAGGTTATGAAGAAAGACCGCCTTCTTAGACTTTGAGATTTCCATCATTAAGGGGGAACATTTAAAAGTTGATGGGTAACGTAAAGTATTTAAGGTTTGACCCTCATCACCCACTGGAGCACAAACTGTGTGTCATAAGGACGCTACGACAAAGAGCGAACAGCATCGCCACAGATACAGTGGCCAGGGAAGCAGAAGAACATCATATCAAGAAGGCTGAGGAGGGGGCGTAATGGTATATTTTTCACGTTTCACCAGCTTACAGTGCTGTGATTGAAGCCATTCCCCACCTCTCTGTGAATAGTACTCAAGGCCATTGATCAGCTGTCATTGGCCAATGGTCTTTGATCAGTGGCTGTTGATCAATGTTCATAACAATTTCATATTAATGATCAAGAAACTGACCTCATAGGCCATTGTTCGTTAGTGGGCTAGCTTCAGTCATTATGCAAATGTCCTGTTTAAAAGGTTGGGGAAACCTGCAGCAATCAGCTGAGACTGAAGAAGTCACTTCAGTGAGCAACGAAACGTTTCTCTCACTGAAAACGTCCAGATGAACAGAATCAACCTTTTGGGACGCTCATCAAAGTAAGTTAAAATGCAGATTTGTGCAACAACTGCTGTGTTAAAAAGAAGAGTTAAGGCATTTCACTAAATCAGAAAACAAAAGCTCCACCAGATGCAACTAGAGTGTGGTCAGACTCACAGCTCTGAGGTTTGTATGTGCCTGGCTGTTCCCTCTATGGTGTTGCAATAATCGCTGGCAAACTTGGTGACTATCTGTAGCAGGGTGGCACTGTGATCCTCTACAGGCTGTCCGTAGCTGTTGAGTCTTGCCTGGTACTGGGCACTCAGCACAGTCACTCGGGTTTTGAGGTCTGGCAAGCAGTCCCGGATGTGGTGCATGAGCAGCCTGCTGAGAGTTTTGGCCAGATAGCGAGAGCCAGCACGAGACACTAGCGAGGGATAGTGGCGCTGCAAGAAAGCCTGCTCATCCTTCATTGAGTCCTCCAGGCTTTTCTGAGTATTTATGTCATGCTGGCTCCTACAACAAGAAGAAAACAGCGAGTTCAGTAAGATAATCAGAATATTAATACTTTTAATTATAGATCAACAAGCAAGTTTGTTTCTTCCAAACCTGTTAACCACCCCGATAATCCCAAGCCTGACTGGAATGACTCGACCCAGAAGGACCTCCAGCGCATCGGTTCCTGCATCCATCAGGTCCAGCTTACTGACCACCAGCAGTGTTCGACGGCCTGACAGACACCAACACAACATTCACAGATCATTCAGGGTGAACGGTTCCCCCATTTAATCATTCTCTTTATCACCACAGCCAAAGGGAGCACATGAACATTCATTTTCCTGTCAGCAAGGTTTTTAAACTGTAAAGACAGGCTATATCAGTAGCATGAAATTACTTCTTTCGACGCATTTGATAATTTAAAAATGAAAGCATGTTATGTAACAATTTAAAAATGAAGCACGTCATGCAGTAAGCACAGAGAGAGAGAGAGAAAATTAAGATAAATTCTGAGGAAAAAAAAAAACCCTGTATAAATAATGTCTTACCATCTGTATCAACCTCACGAGCCAATTTTAGTGCATCAGATGTGGCCAAGTCAGAGTTGGCAGGGGACACTGCGAGGATAAGGCAGTTTGGATTGGAGATAAAGGACAAGATCATCTCTTGCACTTGAGCCTCGATGTCCTTTGGCTGGTCCCCAACAGGAACCTAAGACAACAACAGCACACATTCGATCATTATTAATGATTATCTAACGTCACTGTGTTTGCATAAATCATATCCAGTCAGCATCCCCGTCAAGAGGCTGAATCTACCTTAGTAATTCCAGGTAAATCAACCAGAGTGAGATTAAGAACTTTTGGAGAGAAAATCTTCAGATATATGGGCTCAGGACTGATCCCCTGGATATGAAAAACAGAGAAAGAAAATAATGAATCCAGTGGAAACAGCTGAACCTGCAGCATTACTGAGCGCACATCAAAGTGTTCTTCTCACTTTATTGTCGCCTGAACCTCGTTCAGTCTCTGCTTCAATTTCCCGACGAATTTCCTGAAAATCTGTGAAGATCTATTAAAAGAGTGAGAAAATTACACATCACATAATCCTAGCACACAATACAGAACCAAAGCAGTGTACATATTATTTGAATGCCTAAGATAAACAAACCTGATTCTTGCAGTGCAGAAATGTACCCCATTCTTCAGCTTTGACACCTGAACAAATAGGAGTAAGTGTGGATTTTAACACAGATAAAACTAAGACTTTGAAGAGACATTATGCTAATTTGAATATAAGACAAAGCCACTTGTGTTCATACTAGACGCAGAAAGATCAGGCTGAAGAAAATGTCAGAAAAGAAATGAAGAAGTTAAACAAAGACAAGTGCATGCAGATCAAGTGTAGAGAGACCTGGGTAGCTGTTTTGGGCATTTTGCTTAATCCCATTTCCTGAAAAGCCAGTGAAGGAGAAGAGGAAGAAAGAGAGTGTTAGCAAAGCAAGACCATAAAAGGAATAGCAGTTAAAAACAGTGAGAAAAGGTGCACGTTAACTACTGCATGCAGTATACACTTTAATAACAACCTTCTGTTACTCTATTCTCCTCATTCTTCTGCATACCCTAACTTCCTAAACTTGACTTTGTTTTTTTTAAAGGAATATAACAGTGACAGATTTGTGTTTGTTTACCGTTCTCGATCTTCAGCCTCTCCTGCAATGGGGGGACATTAACAAGCTGCAACACCAGGGGTCGTCTTGTGACTATTCCTGATCCTCGAGGCAAGAAATCCCGTCCAACCAGGCTCTCCAACACAGAGCTCTTTCCACTGCTCTGTTATGACACATGATAAGACCAGTTTAACCCTGATACAGTCATCTGCAAAGTTTTCATGCAGTGTGGATATGCCATTGTGAATATAATAAAAAAAATAACATGAACACAGTTTACAGCTTCAGCTACAGCATACATGACAGATGATGGAATGTTATAGATAAAAATTTGAGAAAACTGCATCACCATTGAGCTTTTTACTTCAAGCTCTCTTGGGCAAACTTTTTTGTCGATTCTTTAAGCAGCCTTCAGAATTAGTTCTCCAGGCTTCATGAAGGACATTCAAACCTCTTCTTCGGATGTTGTCTGCCTTGTTTTGTCAAGAGGATACCACACTGCTTCAATTATGTTGAGGGTTGGCCTCGCCATACCTGATAGTGTTCCATTGTGTGTGTGTTGTATATCCAGGTAAACTTTTATTGCATTGGCAGTGTATCTGGGATCATTATCATCCTGAAAAATGAAGCCACCGCAAATCAGATGCTTTTCAGATGGCACTACATAGAGGATCAAAATCTGACTGCATTTTTCTGTGTTCATAATTTAATCAATTTTGATAAGACCACTGGCTGAAAATGCAGTTCTAAACCATGATAGAACTTCCACGGTTTTACAGTAGACACTATTAATGATCTTCCACGGTTTTACAGTAGACACTCACTGTAGTGCCTCCCTCCTGACATCTCTGTAGATGATTTGAACCAAACATTTCAAATACGGATTCATCACACGATAAAACCTGCTGCCATTGATTTTCAGTCCAGTTTGTAATCTGGGATACCTCAGTGTTTTCTTCTGGTTTCCTTTCCTTAGGAATGGTTACCTGACAGCCACTCTTCCACTGACAACCCTGATGAGACTTTAGTGAATAGTCAACTGAAGGACCAGATGCATCTCTCAGGTTCTGTGTCAGGTCTTTGATGGATTTTTTTTCCTATTTCTTAAGGACATGACTTTCAGATACAGTTCATCTGCTGTAGATATTTTTTTTTTATGTATACAAAGTTTTCAGCTCTTTTGGGATCTTTTTCACAGATAAAGAAATGGGAATAAAATATTTTCACTAACAAGATGCCCAAAGATACAACTCAAAGCATGTTCTGTAAGTTAGTTGTCTGCTATATTGCTCAGGCTTTGAGTTAGGGAATAAACAAATGAACTTAATGAACAAAACATTTCTGTAAAAATGCTCAGGTACAAGGACTTGACTGAAAAGGAGTGAAAAAAGTAGGCAGTCTCCAAAGAAGAACTTTGATAAACCTTCAGAAAACCTGAAGAACTATTGTTCAAGACTACTTTAAAAATTAGAAGACAGCCTGGCTGCTTGGAAACAAAATATAACGAAATCATGGGTAGCTCAGACTTTTGCACAGTACTTTAGATGCGTCCTAGCCTACCTGAGATCCAACCACGACTATCTGAGGTAACTGTATGATCTCCGCCCCCAGTGTTAGAAAGACCTCCTGCAACCGGTTGATGGTGGGAATGAGAGTTTCCATCCTTCCAACAGACGGTTCTACATTGTTTTTTGTTTTTTTTTAATGAATAAATTAAAAACACAAACACACACACACACAGAGCAAAGATAAAACAAACTTCAAAATAGTTAAAAAAACAAAAGCAGTATAGCTTCGTCAGAGGGAGAAGTGGTCCTGATGAGAGGGGTGTAACACCACGCTCAATCCTCCCAGGTTAAGCACCAGTTTGAAGTGGCATTTTAAGATAAACACTGGTTACGAGTTGTCAACTACTGGGATGAAACCAGGTCTGACTAACAGTGCAACAAATGGTGGTGACAGCACAAACCGAGACACTCGATGTTATGTGCTAACTATAGCTTGCTAAATCTATTGGGTAAAGGGAGGAAGTGAAATGGATAAGCTAGCTAACTGCTTACACTCGCTTAGCTGCTAAAGAAACGGTACCCGATGCTGACCTCACCAATGTTCAAGATATATTTCTTCCTATCCAAGTTTCCTGTTCTTCATAGTTTGTATTAAAACAACGCGTTAACCCTTCATTCTACCCGAAATGTCATCCAAAATTAGCAGCATAAAGATACAGACCGTCAGTTGATCACATAGGCGGAACCGTATTACTCAGTCAATCCAATTGGTCAAAAATTTGAGTCACGAGGTTTCCTAGCATCTGATTGGCTGATATGTAAAGTCCCGCCTTGTGAAACCTCAAATCAAACCACACTGCTTATACATTTATATATTCTGACACTTAAAAAGCACACAAGAAAAGCGGAAAGATAGGCTTTTTTTTCCCCCTGTGTTTTAATATCTGTATATATAAACATGTTATTTACATACAATGGCCATCAGTAAGTTACAGAATAAAACACGTATGAACTTTGCACAGATGGTTATAACAGGAAACACCCAGTCATCACGCAACCCAAATATTACTAATAAATACCCTCCATTAGAAGTTAGTGTCCCCTGGAATTTGTAGCAGCCAGAGATCATGTGAAGACAGCTTCATAAATGGACTCCTTTGTATTCAGATATTATGTGATCAGGTCGAGGTTACTGTGCCACCAATGACAAGGGCCAATTTCAAGAGGCCAAGTTTTCTCATCCAAGATAAGAAAGCCCTATTGCTGAGATAAACAGTCAGTGTTATCCATGATCACCCTGGGGCTCTCTGTAAGAAAAATGACATTGTATTTTTCACAGTCTAACACTCTGAACACCGTATGCATGTCAAAGCACTGAGCGTCTCTCAAACAACAATTGGAAAAAAACAGCTTCAAGCTATGCATTCTTAGTCCATGTATGAGGTGTCCATGCCCTCGCCCTCCGGATGAAGCAACCTCCCCGCTAAGCGCTCAATGTCATCGAGGCTAAGCTGTCGAAGGGAACGTTCATAGTCCTTGAGAAAAGAAAGAAAGTAAAAAAAGAAATAAAAACATATTGAAAAGTAGCAGGTTAAAAACATTTCAGTGCATTTATTTACAACATGTTCTGGCTTAGAAATAATGCATGAAGGACTGGAAGCATGACCTTCAGAAACATTTTTGTTGCTTTTAAAAGGAGTTTGTTAAGTCCAAAAAGTGTAGACGTAAATGGAGGTAAGCTAATTTGCAATTTTGACTGTTTGTTTTGTAATGATGTTAAAATTATTTGCACGCAAATAATTAAACAATTTCAGTATAACAACAGAATTTGGCAGCAAAAGGCCAAACTAGATTTTGCTTCATCCTCCCCCCCCCCTTCAAACACACACGCATGTCTGGCTGCTACTGGTCTGAGTTGTTCAATTAATTATTTAGCAAAGCATAATTAGTGGCTCCATAGTTTAGTGGTTTACACATTTGCCTAACAAGCGAACGGAGGAGACATGAATCCCTTTGGGGTTGCGTTGGGAAGGCATGCAGAGCTACCTGCTGTGGCAACGCCTCGTGAATGAGGGAGCAGCTGAATGTAGCTTCTAATTAGTGAGCACAGTTGGATGGATAGGAGCTGATCAACTAACAAACTCAAGAGTAGGGCTGTTGGATATAAGGATATATATCGGATCGTTTCATTTTACGCTATCATTTGTTTCGTGGTGTCGCAAAATAAACTGTTTGCGGCAATATTTTTTCATCGTTTTGATGGTCACTGTAGTGGCTATATTAATTTCTTAAAGTTCTCTCTTTCTCTTATATTTAATATAACCACACTATGGCCGGACAAGCGCCTGTTTTTATGCGTTGTTGTTAGCAACAACGACGGTAAAACCATTGCGTGTCCGCTTGTTTATCTTCCACATAAACCTTTCACAATAAAGCTCAAGATCCTGTTGAGACTTTTCAAAAGAAACTTAATCACGTAAAAGAGTACGCAGAGTACTTAAGGATGAGAAGCAAAAAAGAGCTGACAGGTGCTAAAAAACAAACAAACCTTAGACTCAAACGTTAGAACAGGCTTTTCCCTGCAGCACGCCGTGTAATAAATACTCACAAAGAAAACAGCGGCTGTTACAACTTATGTCTAAAAATGTGTCGTTTCATGCTTTGGTTAAAACACTCGACTCCAGGTACACGACGCCCAGCTGGAAACACTTTACGCAAGTCGAGCTGCCCGCGATTCTCAGAATGTACAGAAAATGTAAAATTTTGTGATTTATATCGTTATCGGACGATAGATGTCTTATATCGGGATATGAGATTTTGGTCATATCGCACAGCCCTACTCAAGAGTTGTCAGTACACCGACTTTCTACAGTAAAATCTGTTCTCATTAAAAGATAAAAGCATTATACAAATATTGTAGTAATTATTAATAATAGATTTCCAGAAATTAAATTAGTATCTCATTGTTACCACTACATGTTCATAAATCATCCATAACTGGCCCTTTCAACTTTAATATTTTACATTTATTAAATATGCACAGCTGTCAACTTGTGTGACGAAAAAAAAAGATAGATGATGCTGCATTTATATACCTTAATAAGCTGTTCATGAACCTTTGCTGCATCTGCCGGACTAAAGTGTCTAGCAAGTATAGTGGAGATGGTCTGCCATACTCCTCCCTGTGTGCTGCTTCCACTGCTGGTGCTGCTACAGCTACCACCGCCGCCTGGTGCTGCTGTCCCTGAGGCTGCAGTCCTCTCTCCCACGGGACGGATTACCAGATTCAATTTAGCTTCAGGACCAATAGAGTAATCACTCAGTCTGTGTTCATCTGAGGGAGAGTGATATAATGTATTGCCATTAAAAATTTACATATGATGCATGCAGAAAAGTATTAACAAATGGTGCCATCAAATGTGGCACTGTTGCCACATCTACCTGCTAGAGCTTTCCCTTTGTAGAGTAACCGTTGTTGGTTTGCTGGTATGTTGAGACGTTCAGACACAAGCTCCTTCACTGTGGAGACCTTTTCGTCTTCAGTCACCTGGAAGATAAACAACCCAATCATGTAGTACATGTGTAATTTAAGAGCATGACGCTAGCTGTTTTCTTTCTGTGCAGCTGAACAGCATTTAAATTACACAGCACACAGTAATGTAACAGAGTATTTGTCCCATTCTTGATTTCTTGTTTTTTGGCATATTTTGAACAAAACAAAACAACACACACACACACACACACGCCTATCTCACATTTGCCAAAAAGCATCTTGATGATCCCCAAATTTTTTTGGGAAATATTCTTTAGACTGACGACAAAAGAACTGAACTTTTTGAAGAGTTTGAGTTCTGTGTTACATCTGGTGTAAAACACAGTGGAGGTAGTGTGATGGTGGGGCTGCTTTGCTGTTTCGAGACCTGGAAGAGTTCGTGTAATTGATGGAACCATGAATTCTGCTCTATCCTTCAGGATTTTCTGGTAGAATGTCCGGTCATTAGTTTGTCCTCTAACACTCAAACGCCTTTGGGTTATGCAACAGGATAGTGACCAAAAACACAGCAGCAAAAAACAGAAAGGGGATATAAATAAGTGACATCCCCGCTTTGTACTGACCTTTGTAGAGGCCCCTTTCTCTAAAAAATAAATAAATAAAGTGCACTCTGGCTAACATTTTAAACGAAATGGCTGTAATCACTGTAATAGCGTAGATGTTGTGCATGGAACCACTTCTCTGCTGAACACAGAATTTTTAAACAATTTTAGAAAAAAAATCCAGTTTGTGCTTCATAATGTTTTAAAAATTAGCTTTGTGAGAGACAGACTGAGGCTAAGCTAACTGACAGCTATATTGGTCTTACTGCACGAAAAAGTGTTTTCCTAAGATAGGACTTCCCCTTTTTTTTCTTTACCCGAAATCACAAAGACCGGCTTCAAATGCTACTAGTCAGCTGTTGTCAGGCGAGATTGTATGCAACATCTTATCCAGGATTTGGCTAGCACGCCAGCCACTATAACATCAATGACTCTGAGGAGAAATGCCCATGCAACCGGCTAGTGTAGGCTACAGTGTGTAGCACTGAATCCCAGTATTTCTGACAGGCTATTTTATTACTTCAAAAAACATATGCGTAGCCGTTTTTCTAAAGGCAGCTCGGCATGTGACATGCCAATGCTGGCTCGGCTAAACTGCTAGCTGCGATCGCAGTTAGCAAGAGGCGGTGAGCTAGCGCAGCGGTACTTCACTCACCTGTACGCTGCACTCTTTTCCTTGAAGCGGTTTCACCGTGAGGATCATTTTTGAATATGCTTTCAAAAAACAAAAAAATTACACAACAATAAAGATAAAGTAACAAAGCCTCCCGAAGTGTGCTGCTTCAGAGTACAGCTACTTTATCAGCTCGCGATTCTTTGCTTGCCAACGGCCCATTTTCTTCTCCCGCATCCCACTACCGCCGCGCGCTGGCCGGAGTGTGGCATGGCAGCTACACCAGCCTTCGGAGGAAAGTGTCATAACAACAAAAACAAACAATAATCCATTTATTTTCTCCTAATTATGCCGCAGTTGAATATTAAAAAGAAAAAAGAGGATGGGAAAACTCAAAAAGGCTTACAACTTTGACTTATAACGCGGCTATTAGTAATATTATCAACAATGCTACACCAGGGCTAATTTATTACGTTTTTAAAACATTTTTTTCCTTTTTGTGTGTTTAAATAACACACAGGGAAATTGTGTTTAAATAAAGTGGACTAAGGCTGCATGACTCTAGCGTGTTTTTACTAGTATCGTGGTGAACACAGTAACTTATAACTGATTTTCCTATTAATGCCTCACATTATTGCAACATTATAGCGTTGTTACCATAACTCATCATCACATGTAGTTTGAAACTGTAGTTATCGGAAAACTACTTGCCGTCCAATTGCAGAGTAACATTTATTTTGTTACTTTATGCACCTACATCAAATACATATCAAGCCTTTACTGAGAAAATAAAAAACATGATATAAGGTAAAATTATATTAGGATGGCTGCACATCTGCTATGGAGAGAAAACGAATAACTCTTTGATCGGTGCACACGGCCAGCCTTTAACCTGCTTCATGATCGGTTGGGCATACAATCATTAACATGCATTGCACATTTTGCCGGATCCCCACCTACTCCCAAGGCTCAGGAACACCCTGAGGACCCCGTGACCCAGATGGGATCCGGTCCACACGTTTCTCATCTCACCCTCCCCGCATGGTTTCCACCGTGTGGGTCATGTGATTGCCTGCTGTCTGTGCCCAGCCCCGGCCAGCCGCGAGCAAGAGAGGAGAGCATCCTTCAGCTGGGCACTTACAGACGGGATGTGCACCTGTCGAGTGAACAGTCTGCAACCAAACCAGGCCAAAACACGCCGGTGAAAGAGACCCCCATAACGCCATACAGGCTGCGTGTGGTAAGTGATGTTTGTGTTCATTTGTTTGTTTATGGTGTGAAATATCGCACAGCATTAATACAGTTTGCGGACACAGCCTCATCTGTGCTAACAGACAGTCAATTAGAAACATAACAGCGTAAAAGCAGCAAAGATTAAAAAAAAAGAAAAAATCATCGTGAAAGCATCAGCCACGCCTAACAGTCACATGGAAAATCCAATCTTATTTTTATGTTTTCATTCCTGTTAAGACTTTTGTGTGGGACCCAGCAGGAAGTTTGCACTAACATTTACTGTGCAAGCATTTCATTTCTACTTTCTTTCTATTTTGTCTTAATGTGGCTTGAATTATGTATAGAGATGCAGAACAATAGACTAGAGCTAATGCTTGCAATGTGGAGCTATACCTTACCTGTGACTCATTTGCAGTGAACATTAATGTGCTCATAAACATATGAACACACGTATAGGTGTGGAAATGTACAAGAAGCCCAAAACAGGTGGATCTATGCTCTTATCCAGGTAGAAGCCATTACACCTGAATAGATTAGCTAAATAATAAAGAGGTGTGTAGATCAAAATCAGACAGAGATTAAGTTTGTTATAGATAGATCCATACTGCATAGGAGCTGTAGGAATGTATATACTCTATGGATGGCTCTTTGTAAAAAGCATAGATGAAGTCTGCTAGTGTTTGCAGGTGATGGGGACACTTCGGGACCTTCAGTTTGCTTTGCAACTAAAGATTGAGGAGCTTCGCCAGAGGGACACGCTGATAGATGAGCTGGAGCTTGAGCTGGACACAAAGGATGAACTCATCCGGCGGCTGCAGGAAGAACTAGACCGCTACAGAACCACTGTCTCCCTCCCAGGATCCTCTGCAGTCAGTGCATGTAGGCAGTTTTGTGCTGTTCTAATAATTGCAAGGCTTATTAGGACTGATATAGAGTTCTGTTAAATTTCCCTGACTTTTTTTATTCTTTATTTTTTTTGCTTCTACCTCAGCTCAAACTGATGACAACAAGAGACCCAGAAGGCAGACGGTGATTTGTGAGCCCCTCACTCTGGACCCAGTGACTCTTGCCTTGGTTTCACAGAGAAGCTGTGACAAAAGCCACGAGTAAGAGGACACAGTGTTCCCTTCAGAGCTACACCTGCTCAGATTGAAAAATTACATTCATGCATGTTCAAGGCTCACTGACTGCTGACTGCATGACTCATGATGAACCAATGCTTTTTTTATTCATTGTCAGATGCTCAAGCAATTGACACTGTTTAATAACTCATCCTCACCTGCAAATTTGATATCGTTTCCTCATGTCCTCAGGTCCCAGAGGCTGATTCGGGCATCATTTCTGAGAAACGACTTGCTGAAGCACCTTGATGAAGGAGAAATCAGAGCCATCATCGCCTGCATGCATTCCACCACTATCAATCAAGGCTGCTATGTTATTCAGGAGGGGACCGCTGGGGCTCAGGCTTACGTTTTGGAAGGTAAATCCTTTTTTCCTCTCACAATGGCCGCCATTAATCACACACGAGGATATTTATTAAGGCTTCCTTGAGATGTCAGATGCTTAAGGACAGACTGATTAAATGATGAGCTTGATCATATCTTTATATTTAAATTCTTGTACTGATAAATAGAAGCAAATAGAAACGCAACAAAGTGACAGCGTGTGGAGCAACACATTTCTAGTTTGGGTTGAAATGTCAGCTTGAGCCTGAGGAGACGGAGAGGCTGTTTATCTCCGGTTGCCTTGCCTTTCTGTTGTTTGTGCTGTATATCTCTCTCAGTCTGTACATTATCTGACATAAAACCCACTTCTCTGCGTCGTCCTTCACCCAGTGTTTGTTTATTCGCAGAAGGGAGGCTGGAAATGATGAAAGATGGACTGAAGCTGCTCACAGTTGAACCAGAAGACATGTTTGGAGAGCTAGCGCTCCTTTACAACTGCACCCACACCTACTCTGTGTCAGGTATATCAAAGCTTTGCATCGGCTTCTTTATTTTATAATTGCGCGCAGATGTCACAGGAGAGCTGTCAACCTGAAGAATTTCTCTGTGATTATCTCTGATTCGGCGAGGATCTAAATAATTCTAGTTTAAGCGAATTTCACAAGCGGTAAGATTTCTGGCTGTGGCCTCGGACAAAAGACGCCTGTTGAATTCGAAATCAAAAGACCCTCTGAGATTTTACAACAGCTTTGCATGGCCTTCTATCAGATGTGAGGAATTTAAAGCATCCTTGGTTTTTGCCGCTTAACAAGGCTGCCTGGACCGCCACATCTCCTCCCTGCAATCCAGCATCTCAGCATCTTGCAAACATTTAAAAATAATCTTCTTGTAAACGATCTCGATTTAATGACCGCTGCGTTGCAACCTCTCATCTGTGCTTTTGTGGTGATTTTTTTCCCCTCTTACAAGCAGAAACTGTGCTATCATTTCCTTTGAGGATCCGATCGCAGAGTCCTGTGGGAAAACCTTTTCAGCCGTGGCTGCGTGTGTCTGACCTGGTTTCACAAATAAATAGGCTGTGAAAATGGCCGGATTAGTTTAAATTGAAAAATCTGTCTGTTTTGTCTTGTTTGGTCCCAAAAGCATCCCATTCCTCCCCTTTTTTAAAAACTCCTTTCTTTGTCCTGCAACCAGGCAGCCTTTCCAATTCACTGTTCTACATTTGTCTGCTCTCTGGTAACAAAACTCATTTGATGTCTGCTCGCTGCTCCCCCTTGTTCCATGTACCCTCTTTTTTTCAATCCATTTAAGGCCTGTTGCATTTATCTCCTTCCTGACCTGAAATTACCTTTTTTCCCATCATATCTGGTACAAGAGATTAAATTAAAAACTAATGGCTGCACGCCGTGTGCCATACAAAGGTAAAGCGACAAAGTTTGGTTTGTATCCAAAAACAGGGAACTGAGACAAGGACTGCACCGCAATAATCAGATGCTCGATCTTATTAGACTGTCTGGTGGGGACGTCGTCTTCCGTTTGCAGGAAGGTTCAGTGAATCAATCAATACTGGTCATTATTAATTAACGACACTCTCTTTCAAGCTCTATTAGAAAGAAAGATGGTGATGATGGCTGAAGGAAATTAGATTTGATTGATATCAACTGACCTCTGCGAGGAAAACAAGTATTTTTAGTTTTTACGATACACGGTAAGCATTTCTAATGAAATCCTGGCCTACTTACTGGCTGCACGTCCACATCCATCACAGGCAGCGTGAGTCTCGATAGTGCTTTCACTCATCTGTCACTGACACAGCGTTTTCCTCTGTCTCTGTGTTTTGATCTGCAGCACGAACGGACAGCAGGCTGTGGGTTGTGGATCGCAAGAGCTACCAGACCATAATCATGCAGAGTGGTCTCAAGCGCCTTTCCCATTCAGTGGAGCTTCTTAGCAGGTGAAAATCAGACTGATGCACACGGAGTAGCTCCAAAAAGCTGCTTTGATGGGCCATGTAGGCTTTTACCTCTGAGCACGGTATCTGCTCATTGTCCTCATGCACCTACATGAGCTATTGCGGATGATATCCAGTGCTTTTTGTTTGTATCTGTGTGCAGCATTCCCTTCCTCCAGTCGCTGCCAGCAGATGTCCTCATGAAAATGTCGGATCTCATGGAAGAGGTACACTTGAAGTTATTTAACTGTGAAGCACACTAGTGTATCCAGCTAATAGATGAGGTGAATGTTTACATGCAGTGCCTCTATAAGTGCAAAGAAAGCTCTCTGGATGAACCCTTCTTTGTTTTATTGATATTTTTCCACTGGTCACACTGCTGTCGGTTTTCATTTGCCTTCCACAGACACATTACGCCGATGGCGAGTACGTCATTCGACAAGGGGCCACAGGAGACACCTTTTATATCATCAGCAAAGGCCAGGTAAAGTGTTCTGCTCTCATCCTGCTGCGCAGATCAAGGGGGGCTTTCTGAGGAAAAGATTTACAGCCTGGATGACAGAAATGTCAAAGCAGTGGCGGAAATGACTTTATGATGGTGATAATTTACTTTGGTGCGTTGCGCTCATCACCATTACCTCTTTTTTCATTACATTTGACAGGTGAAAGTGACAGAAAAGGGGCAAGAGCAGGAAGAACAGGTAGTTCTTTCTAAGCTCTCTGAGAGACAGTGGTTTGGAGAAAAGGCTCTGTGGGGGTAAGAAGGAAAAAAAGCTCCTTCAGATGATGCTATAAAGAAATTTCTGCACATATAATGAAAAAGCACACACACACACACACACACACACACACACACACACACA